AAAAAAAAAAAAAAAAAAAAAAAAAAAAAAAAAAAAAAAAAAAGCAGCCAGTCCCCACTTTCCATAAAACACACACGATTGGATACAAATTCATTCTGCCCCAAGTCAGCTGTCTTGGTTAATCCAGGGCACCCAGGCTGTGGCTCCTGTCCCATATAAGTATCAGTGGTCCCCCTTTCTTGCACAAAAGTCTCCACATTTGGACAGTAAATAAGACGATCTCTCTCTCATTATACAACTTATAATATTTACAGATGCCAGATAACAAACAAACCATAGCAGTTTATTCTGTAGACACTTATTTTTTTTTTTAAGATTTGTATTGAGGAATTGGGGGAGGGGAACAGTGTTGGGGAATCTCAGAACAAGTTGCTGTCCTTTTTTTCTTCAGTCTAGTTGTGGAAGATGTCGCTTCACTGGCCCATGTTGGTATTATTATTGTGCTTTTCCCGGGTGAGGCAGTCGCTTGCTGGCCATTGGACGTTGGCTCACGGCGGCTGCTCACGCCAGCTGCCAGCCACTCAGTAGCGCATGGCAGCCCACTGCAGCCCCACTGCAGCCTACGCCATCGCTGGTGACTCATGGCAGCCCAGCTCCAGGTTGAGCTGTTGTTCATCATCTTAGCTGTAGAGGGCGCAGCGTCACTGGCCCTCATGTGGGATCTGAACCGGGGCCCTGCTGCTCAGAGCTGGTGTCCCAAGCCAACTTCTAACCAATGCACCACTCGGTCAGCCCTGTAGACACTTTTAACCCATGAAATGGAGATTATAGGGTTGGAGAAGTTTCTAATTTCTATGGTGGTGGGGTTAAACTGATAAGCTTCGTGAGGGGAGGGGTATCATACCTTATCATAGAATCTTAGGATCTTTGATCTGGAAAACCCCACAGAATAGGGGTTCTGAACCTTGAGTCCACATGTGGGCTCCTGGGAATCCAAGAATCCCATTGATTGTGTACAATTTGATCTGTTGCTTTCATCCAATTCTCTGGCCCACAAGTTTCATTGCCTTTGTTGCAATCAACATAAAAGAACTCTAGAATATATATGCTTTTCTTCCCATAGAGTCATTTTAGCAATAGACCTACCCTTGGGTAGCTTCATTCATTCATTCATTCATTCATTCATACATTCAGTCACTTCTGCCTTCTGTTTCCTCATCTGTAAAGTGGGGAGATAATAACACTTGGTTATGTTGTTGTGAGGTTTTAAAGAATTGATACAAGTAAAGTGCTTCGAGTGGTACTGTTACTATTACCACATGCCAAGTACCACGTTGCAGGCCCTGAATGAGCGCAGGCTTGCCCTGACATTGGTAAGCTGATCCTTGCTGACATTCCTTTGCTCTTACGGGCATGTCCTCCGCCATCCCGGGCTGCCCTGACATCTTCAGCGAGTCTATTTTAGGTAGACTGCATCTCCGGCCATCCCTGTGGGTCTGGGTTCACACTGTCTTCCTTGTAGCCACATGACAAGGCTCTGCTTTGCTTAGAAAATATTGTCAACCCAGCTCGATCTGCACATCCCTCACAGCTGACTCACACACCATTTCAACTGCTGTCATAGTAGAAACTGAAAGCCTCTACCATTCGAAATATGTACAAGTCATAAAGTTCAAAGGTGAAAAGTAAAAAGTCTCTTTTTCCCAGAGTGAACTGCTGATAACTGTTTCTTGTGGCCTCTGGGAATGTCCCGAAATAGACACCAATACAGTCTTGCATTGATTAATGATGAGGAGACATTCTGAAAAGTGAGTAATTGGGTGATTTCATCGTTGTAGAGTGTACTTTCACACACTTAGATGGGATAGCCAGCTGCTGTAATTGTAGGTACTAGACTTTTACATGACTGGCAGTGCAGAGGGTTTGTTGACACCAGTATTACCACAGATGCTGAGGAATTGTGGTGTGAGCCCTGACAGAGGGCTTTCTTTTCTGTAATTCAAGTGTCTAAGTTAAGCTATGATTGCCGAGGCATCCATTGCAAAGATAACTATCTCAAACAAACATAATATTAGCCACCCGACTAGATAAAGAACCGGTTCCCCCTCCGTGCCTCCTCCCCTCCCCCTGCAAAACACACACACACACACACACACACACACACACACACACTGTTTTTCAGGCACCTTTGTTTTTAGAGATCTTGGTTGATTTTGATAACTGACCATTTGGGCTACTTGTTTTTTTTCTCTTCTCATACTTTAAATTCTCACTCTTATGTTTTAAATTCATGAAAAAAAGAGTGCGCCTGTGAAACCCTAGACCCCAACCCATGACCCCAATAAAAGCAGAACCCCAGAACCATTTTCTCTCTCCCTCTCTTTCCCTCTCCCCGCCTCCCTCCCACCTCCCAACCTCACTGTGTGCCCCCTGGCGTGCCTCAGACACTCCAGGGCCTGTATGTAATAAACTTTTTTTCTTCAAAGTTTCCTAATGGTTACTGCTGAAGGGCGTCTTGCTGTCATAATAGGAGCCATTGGTTTAGAAAGGGAAGATGTCTGCGACAAAGTGACACCCAGAGAGAATATGATATTGCTTCAGCCAAGCAATTCTTATTCCTGGAGTCCTTTTCCACACTCTTCATTGATGTGAATCAATAAGTTCTTTTATTAAGCTAGTTAAAAAAATTTTTTCTCTGTATCCCAACAGGTCCTAAGTTAGTAGATATTTTAGTCTCCATCTTACAGAGGAAGAAACCCAAGCTGAGAGCATGCCATGCATGGTCTAAGTTCTCCCCAGCTGGAACGTGGCACAGGCAGGGCTCACGTACCTGGCCTTGAGCTCATGCTCTTTTTGAGTACTGCCACATGTCTGTTCGTTGCTCCCACAGGCATATGTATAAGGTGCATAATCAGTGCATATTGCATTGCAGGGACATGGCCAACCATCTATTTCAAATTCTTACCTGGGACAGAGAGATTTTGGGTTGGAATATAAAATGTGCATGGAAACCTCTATCCCAGTGATCTCTTGCTGCCTAACAAATCACCCCAAAACTTAGTGGCTGGAAACAACAATCACTTATTTAGCTCATACATCTGTAATGTGGGCAGGTCTCAGTGAAAACAGCCCGCCTCTGCTCCAGGAGGCATCAGCTGAGAGGGCTCAGCTGGGGCTGGAGGGTCACACTTCCAAGATGGCACACCCACATGGCTGGTGAGGTGCTGCTGGCTGGTGGTTCCTCCCCACGCAGGCCTCTCTGAATCAGGAAGTCAGCATTTGCTCACCCCAAATAATGAAGAATGTCCTTTGGGAAGTCAAACAGGTTCTTCAATAAGTTAAACATAGAGTTACTCTCTGACCTGGCAATTCCGTTCTTAGGCACATACCCAAGAGAAATGAAAACATATGTCCACACAAACACTTGTATGCAAATATTCATAGCAGCTTTATTCGCAATAACCACAAGGTAAAAATAACCCAAATGTCCATCAATGGATGAATAGTTAAATAAATGTGGTATATTACAAAATACAATTATTTAGCCCTAAAAAAGAATGAAGCTGCAGTAATCAAGACAGTGTGGTATTGGTGAAAGAATATACAAATAGATCAGCATACAGAATAGAGATCCCAGAAACAGACCTACATAAATATAGTCTTTGATAAAAGAGCAAAGGTAACACAATGGAAAAAAAATAGTCTTTTCAACTAATGGTGCTGGAACAACTGGACATTCACATGCAAAAAAAAAAAATCTAGACACAGACTTTACACCTTTTACAAAAATTAACTCAAAATGAGTCAGTCCCAACTGTATAATGCAAACTATAAAACTCCTGGAAGAGAACATAGGAGAAAACCTACATGACCTTGGGTTTAGCGGTGACTTTTCAGATACAACACCAAAAGCATGATCCATGAAAAAAATAATAGGTAAGCCAGACTTCACTAAAATTAATCACTTCTGTTCTGTGAAAGATACTGTCATGAGAATGAGAAGACAAACCACAGGCTGGAGGAAAATACTAGCAAAAGAGACCAAGAATGTACAATGCAAACCCTAGTGTGGGGGAGGCTATGTGTGTGGAAGGGCCAGGGGTAGATGGGAAATCTCTGTACCTTTCTGTTCAACTTTGCTGTGAACTGAAACCTGCTCTAAAAAATAAGTTTGGTAATTGAAAAAAAAAATGCTGGCACGTGCTACAACATGGATGTACCTGGAAAACATTATGCTGAGGGAAAGAAGCCAGACTTAAGAGGCCACATGTTGTATTAATATGATGCCATTCCTATGAAATGTCCAGAATAGGCAAATATGTAGAGATAGAAAG